GGAGCCTCCCTTCCCCACACGCCCCCCTGGCAGGAGGTCGTCCCGCTGCCTTCGCCCGCCCTGAGGGGAAATGCGCAGCCGGGACCTGGCGCGGGATGGCGGCGGGAAGGAGACAGGCGCGACGGGCCGGACGCTGAGGAGACTGAGGTACCTCCCGCTGCCCGGCGTGGACATCAACCCCTCCGCGTCGCGCTGCTGGGGTAGGGAGAGGCTTTAGGGGTCAGCGTCCTGTGTGGGCACAGAAAGGGTGGGTTCGCGCCGAAGGGACGGTACCGGGTCAATACCAGGCACCTCTGGGTGCTGTGAGGAAAAACCCCTGCGGCTGGGCCCTGCTTGCTGTGCTGTACTGAGTATGTCGGGTCGTTCTCTGAGTTCTCCAGATTGATCCGTAACTGGTGTCTCTTGGTAGGGGAGCAAGCAAACTGCAGCTCGTCTCTAGATGGGATGCTCCCCTGGAAAGGGGGCATTCCCTGTTGCCACTGCTGGTTTTTGCCTAGCTGCCCCTTTACGTGTAGTAAGTATCTGGTGCTTCAGCTGAATATTGGAGTGAAAAAATAACCCAAATAAATCGGCAAGGCTGGCAGCAACCCCTCAGCTATCACAAGTGAAAAACCACTGTGCTGTCTTGCAGACCTGATATGCAGTGTGTCATAGTGATTAAAACAAGTGCAAAATACTTATTGCTTTCAGATGGTAAAGATCACCCACTTGTAAGATCCCTCCTCAGCAGTTTTACGTAATGTTATTATTGCACTAATATGCTTTTTTGGTCCTGGAGCAAAGCACAGCTTTGAGTCAGAAGGCACCCAGATTCTCAGATACAAGTTTAGAAAGATACTAATAAACAGAAATGTTTTCCTTTTATTTAATTAGAATAGATTTTTGTAGTATGAGTGTTTTGTAAACGATCTGCAGCTGAACAATTAGTAAATCAGCAGAAATTTCAATCTATCTTAACTGAGTTGAATTAATAAAGTCTTAAACCTCTATAAAACCTTTGATCATGCTCCTGTTGTTAATAAAGCAAGTGCATTAGATTAATATAAACCCTTTGGAACCTATTACTATTTGTAACATAGCCCAGGCACTGTTTAGTGTTTAAGGAATTATTTTAATTAGACTGTACATTCAGTGAAAGTACTGGAAAGGGGAAAGTCAAAGCTGGTAGGTATGGACCGAGTCTCAGGAACAGGGACACAACCAGCCCTCCAGCAGACTGGAGGCAGAAGCATTGGAAGAGGATGCCCTCACTTCCCAGAGCCCTTTGTCTTTTGCTTTGGTCAACTCTCCCATTTTACACTCCTTCCCAGCGAGGGAATACCCCTCCTGGAGGGAACGGTGCTACAACCCATGTTGGGCGCTGCAGAAACCCTCCTGGTAGGTAGGAGCTTGGGGACTCAGAAGTCCCACCAGCTGAATAGCCAAGGCAGCAGGAGTTAGGGCTTACAGGACTCCACTGGAGTACATTCACTCTGAGAAGGTGATGATGAAAAAGTCTTACAAGTTTCCATTTTTAATGCAGGAGAGGGAGGGCAAGAGATTAAGCATAAATCTGATCCCCAGAGGAAGCAAGCATCATGTTTAAATCACTTGTGACCTCCCATCACTCTTATCACACTGGGCACCTGATATCTCTAAAGAAGTGACTACTATCAGCCTGACCTGTGAAAGACAATGCTGAGTTTGGGACTAATAACTGATTCTTTTGAAAAAGACTCTTAGAAATGGTAACATCAAGTAACAGTTAAATGTACTTTAATTCCTTCAAACAGAAGGATATCTTGAAGGTACATCAGAGAAATTATTTCATTGATTTCAGTCTCTTAAAAGAAAAAAATCATGGCTTCAAAATTCAGGAACAGTATCCAATAAACAAAGTAGTATTGTTGTGCACCTGGTTTAGTGTGGTACAAAGAGAAGCTTACAGATTCAAATGATGGCATAAATGACTGAGCAATCCATTCAGATAATGCTTGTTTACAGGGACAAAAAACTATCTTGACAAGTATGAATAAGCACACAGATCATCTGTTTAAAATAACCAAACCTTTCTAACTGTATTTACACACATGGATGTATTCGCTTTCCTTTGACACTAGAAATTACAGACAAAAGATTCCAGTTTATAGCAATTAGACTTCAAACAAAAATAACCTCGAGTCATTCAAGTCATACAGCCCCAGAACAGTAGCTTCAATCTTTATTAAACTGCTGCCAACTCTATAGTCTAACCCTGGAAATTCAGGCCAGAAAGGCTGAATTCAGCTTCCACCTCTAACAGATTTCAGTTGGCAGCATTAACTGGATGTGAGGAGCAAAAAGAGCAGCGGGGAATTAGTAAGATACAGACATGTAATAAGAATGAATCTCCCACTTTTATCCAAGGTGAAAGTCTTTAAATGCTCTTAATATGCATATACAAATTCAATGAAGTAAAAATGGACACCCATTACACATTCAGCCAAATTAGACATTAAGTGAACAGTCAGAGCACATGATGGCCATCTGTAGTATTTCTTCAGCATTGCAGAGAAATGTGTTAATCCCTACTCATGTCTTCCATTGCTAGAAAAAAATTACACTTAAATAATGGTTTATTCTTTTAGCACATTAGTTTACTCTGTAGCCATTGTCAGGAGTAAAACCTTAAGTTTCTCAGGCAATTCAGTATTATCAGTACAGTAGCAAGTGTTTTGGCAACCTGTTAAATCCTTAAGATTTAGGCAATCTGAAAAGAAAAATCCCAGTAGTAGCATTTCATTATCCAGACCTCTCATTTCTTGTTCATGGATTTGACTTTACAGAACCTGAAGCTTTGATTACTTTCAGAACAGTTTTTAGAGGTTTTCTGCTAGTAACCAACAGGAGTGTAACAATGGTATAGTATTTTTCCTAAAGCATGAAAAAGACCTGGAAAAGATTATTTGCCTTGAAGAACTACAATTAGGACTACATAATGATTAAGTAACAAGGCATCATGGCAAGAAATAGCACATCGACCCTCTACCACAACAGCAAATCGTTTCCAATCTTACAACAAAAAAGAATCAAATAAAAAGAATTAAAACTTAAGGGAGTTCATAGGTTTGGTTCCTTCTCTCTCTAGATGGTAAGAAACCATTCCTGATTAACATCATCTTTACCCTGCAAGCAGGATCAGGGCAGAAGCTTTTGTTGAGATGGACTAAAGTAAATGGTTGCCTTATTTTTGCATTGCTCACATGCAGACTGGATGTTTTATTGTCTCTGATAACTGGATTAAATTCAAGCTGGACCAGACACTTACAGAATGTTTCCCCCACACATTATTTGGGCATGTCTTAAACAGAGATTGATTTTGTTCTAAGTGTATTCTTAAGCATCAAAAATGCTGAATTTGACGATAGCAAATTCTGTGAGGAAAAGGAATCAGAGAATATAACAGCAAGTCTTCCCAGAAGACAGTCTTTTCTACACATCCAAAGAGAACTAGCTGTTTGAATTTTAGATTAGCTGATACAACATTTTCTTTTAAATATTTCAAAAGCACAGCATGTTAAAACAACTTTCATTACACTTTGTGGAATATCAGTACCAACAACCTCTATGTGAAATTGTTACAAGCTACTAAAATGCAGTCGCTTAACATGAGGAAGAGTACAGTAGATCTAAAGCATATATACATGCTGCTACCAAGGAAAGAAAGCAGTCAAGTAGCAACTTTTTCTTTTTACACAAGCTTTGCTAAGAATCTTTCTCTTTGAAATAGCCCCAAAATTAGTTTGCACTTAAGATTTATTTTCAACTGAAAAGATTTACAAAAACACCCGAATCTTGTAAGACCCCTTGGTCTTTTTATTCTGAGCTTGCGTGGTATCTTTATGCAAACCGATTTCCTCAAGATACAGTACTGCAAGTTACTACTTCAAATAGCTAACAAGTGTTTTTTCCTCTTTCAAAACAGAGATATAAACCTCTGTCTTCACACAAGGCATATGCACCCACTGCCCTGTCTTACAGAGTTTGGCAATTCAAGAACCCGAGTGTGCACCAGTAACTATCAAACCAAACATTTCACAAGTATTCAAATAGTGGCAACTAAACGACCTGATCATCAGTCCACACAACCACAAGGTTGCATCAAACTACATCAATACTGACCAAATGTCCCCCAAAATGCCAAGAAACAAGAAACTACAAACAAGTTCAAAACAGAGGATTAAAACTGTTTCTTTCAGTGAAGACCAACCAGTCCCTTTGTGTACACATTTAGTTTTATTGTAACAAAGCAACTTGTACACTTTAACGTTTAAAACTGAGCATCTTTCTTTCCTTTCCAGTGAAACAAAAAAAAAAAAAAAAAAGAAAAAAAAAAAGAATTTAAAAATAAACAAGAACAAAATTACAATAGAGAAATGTCAATTCCAAATAAGATCCTACAGGTTCTGCTGATTCTCCATCAAGTGGCAGGGCTCAAAGTCATCATTAGGAGAAGATTTTATTTTAAAAGTGTCATCTTAAACTGCAAGGATGTTTGTTAAACATCACAATTAAACATGCCAAAGGAGAAGAAGCCATGTTGTCAAAATGCCCACGTAACCCACCCCAACATCTGAAACCCACCCAGCTCACCTTCTAGAACCCCAGTTTTTTATTTTATTTATTTTTTTTTTTTTAGCTTTTTCTTTTTTTTAAACAAGAGAAAGTAGACAGATACATGTTGGTAAATGCTAACTGTCCATATTCACATAGAGACACAGTGTAATCTCTGAGCCCAATATACAGAGAAAGAAGGAAAAAAGCTAGATTCTATGCACTACTACACAGGGGCCTAGCACTCTTCAGCTTCCAGCAGAGTGAAGGGAGCAGAAGGTTTTCTTTTTTCCCACAGAACATGGTGTGTTGATTCCATAAACAGTTTTTTTGAGACAGAAAGGGATAAAAATGAACTTGAAACAGAAACTGGTAGATTCTTTTCCACTGTATTCTGCTCAAGGTATTTCCCCCCAAAATAAAGTGTGAACCATGGTGTAGAGGAGAGAAAAAGAGACCTCAAGAGAACAAGGCGACTGAGCACAAGAAAAAAAAGACAGCAACTTGCTCCCAGGGACTGGATTAAAATTAAAAAGGTAAAAAGGGGGTTTGGAATCCATCAGTGTTCAATTAGTCATCTTCTCCTTCATCCTCCTGTTGAAAGATAAGCAACAATTAAACAAATCTAGTCACTAAACTTCAGAGAGCACGAACTTTCAAACGCAGTAACCACAACTGTTTTACTGCCTTCCAGACTACAGTCCTACAGTGTTACTCATAGCATGCTGTCTTATGATCACTCCTTTCCTCTTCACTAAGGAGTAGTAACACTTGCCATGAGCACCCACCTACACAGAAATAAGTTAATAACTGGATGTCCCAGTGAAAGAGACACCGGGTCTGGAAAACTGTGACTTAGAATCACTACAAACATATAAGTTTAAGACTTACAAAGTGAAGAGGTCTCCCCCCCCTCCCAGTTTTAAACTCTGAAGAGTAATGTATTTTAGATGTATTAGTGCTAAATTTCAGGTTAAATATAGCACTTTCAGATGCTAAATTCCAGGTTAAATAATAACCCATCACTCTGGTGCCCACAATAACCCTCCTGTCTCAATGTGAGTAGTTTTTTGGCTGCTGAAACTCAAGAGACACCACACCCAATTATGAGAAACAAAGACATTCTAAACTTGAAGTTATCAACTCCCTGAATACTGTCCCTGGAATACCACTTGCTACTGAAGGAAATTTCTAATTCCTGAGCCCAATAGAGAGCCTTTGCTAAGCTGCCCATAAGCAGCAATAAACCAAAGGTGGGAGGATGACAGAACCGGATGCACCAACAAAAGCTATTTACAAGTAAAGCCTTACTAGAATGCTCACTAAGAATTTTGTCATGCTTATATTCTAGTTCTTCTAAAGCACCTCCCTTACAAATTCACTAGAACAACTTATTTTCACTGTCACATGCACAAACATACTTATTACACTGAAATAACTCCAAAAGTTAAGGTAGTAGAAGTTCTACTTTTCCCCTCTAAACTCCTTGTCAGTAATTGTACAAAGAAAAGCTTTTACCTTTGTAACTAGGGCTCAGTATTTTGACAAGATCCCCCATAAATAACTTTTGATTCTCAAACACCAGAGCTAGAAGGTGTAAGGGGTAAGATGACTCACCTCTCCTTCCTCTCCCTCATCATCGTCTTCATCTTCCTCCCCCTCATCTTCATCTCCTTCTTCATCAATATCTTCTAATCCTTCTTCCTCTTCATCATCATCATCATCCTCTTCTCCCTCCCCTTCCTCATCATCCATATCAGGAACCTTAAAGACACATATGCACCATTAACTACAGTGATCAAATTCACTTACATGGTGCTACTACGGGTATGGATCAACAGCTCTGTGCTGTACTTACCAAGTAGTACTGCAATGGATTTGGCCAGATGTCATCCTTGATGACTTCTCCTAACTCATCAGCCCCTGCATCAGAGTGATCAGTGAACCAGGTGAAAAAGCTTTCTGGCTCTTCATGCTGTCTCTTCCTACTGGCTTTGTTCTGTGTCTGGCTTGACCGTTTTGTCAGATCCTGAAAAGAAAGTCAAGAAGTTCCATAAAAAAGTGGTCTTTACAACATTTTTCTTTTTTTAATAACACCATTTAGAAAGGTACTTTTGTAAACAGCCACAAGAAGTCACTATTCCCTCTTTCAGGAAAAAGAAGAAACACCTGGAACCCAAAAAACTCGCAGAAAAAGACACTGCATTTGTCATGAACATGAGAAAACAGTAAAACCACCTGTTTCTTTCAATGACCTCCACAGAAATACTGAAAATTCACAAGATCTTGCATTTGATTTATGTTCCTCTATCACAGGGAAGCACAACTCTGACAAGTGTTTAATGACATACTGAACTTAAAAGATCTCACAATGGCTAAACGCTATGACTACTACATGACTTAAGAAGCACTGTCTCCACACCTCTATCTCAGGTTAGAGACACAGCTTAAAGAACTGCCCAGCCTTCTTACCCTAAGATTTCTTGCTTTGAAGTCTTCAGGCCATTCTTTGTAGTAAGTGAAAAGAGACAAAAAAGCCTCACACAAACCACTAAAACACATGGTCAGAGGAACATACATGGGTCCTCTATCTCCCACCTCACCCCAGAAGTTTAGTAAGTTTGCAACAACCTTTTCGTTAAGATAGGAATTCCTATCTGCTATTTAAATCCACTCTTTCTTTGATCATGTGCTAACTCCAAACTTCTAGTATTTGTTTTCTTGATAGAATCACAACATTGATATGTTTAGACTGTTTAATGAAGGAGGATATCAGAATTCACACTGATTTTGTAGCATGTTGTAAAGATCGTTAGGCCAGTTTGTACTGGGCTGTAACTTCTTGTACAAGAGGCAAAGTTCTAGTTCTCAATGAAAAAAGGTTAAGTTTTCTTCTCAGTCTGAGGGTGACAAAACAAGCAGCAACTTAACTGCAACCCTCAGTTCTGCTTTTAAATAGTTCACAATTTTCAGAATAACATGAAAGTACTCATAACTGTTGCAGAAACTAATTACAGCAAATTAATCACATGTGAATACTGTCTGGATGAAAGATATGGCCACATTATTGTGTGGCTGCAACTTCTACAATGATGCAGTGTCTGGAAATGAAGCTGAGGAAATAAAGAGAACAAAATCAAATTACACACCACTACCTGACCCCCCATAACCCCGCTAGCTTTGGAATTCCTTATTTAAATTAGTTATCTTAAGCAAACAACAAAACACATCTAGATTCATGCCAGAGAGAGACAAGCTAATGCAGTTGTTAATCTCTCCATCTGGCCATGCTTGTACTTTCACTGCTCAGCTGAGCAAGAGAATTCACAACAGATCTCCACATCAATGGGGTATTCCAAACCCTGCAAGATAGGCATGAACTGTGTATGTAGAGAAGTGAAAATGGGACTGAGAGAGGAAGAAAGGGAGGACAAGGCATCTTCAATACAAAACTAGTAAAAGGAACATACTTGAAGTGATGGTATCACATAGAGCAGCAATCCTCTCTCCCAGATACATACCTTCCCAGATTTCCATTTGATCTCAGTTGATTTTGAAGAAGGGTCTCCACTTTCATTGAGGTGAAACTCTTTGGAGAGAACTTTATTTTCAAAGTATGGATTCTCGTCAAAATACTGCAGAGTTGAAAGCAAAGAGTTAGAACCCACATCATGTAAACACATGTGCCAAGTCCCAGTCCTTGGCACAACCTAGTATTAACTGGGTAACTGAAAAGATTAAGTTACAAACTCCAACCCAATGCAGGTAACGTAAAAACCAGCAGAAAAATCACAAATAAAGGAATTCTTTAAAGTACTTACAAAATCTATTCTGTAACCTGATTTGATGTCTTCAAATTCTGTCACCTCAACTCTGGTCAAATAATGCAGTGCTTCCTCATCTTCTTCTCCCAGCAGTGCAGATACTAAAGACAGAATTAGGAATCCCACATTAGCAAAGCTATGAAAGGTGTATCATGGGAATCATGCAGGTGAAATACAGGGAATTGATAGTAACAAAGATCTGAAACACAGCACATCTGTCCAAGCCAACTTCTTGGAGCCCACTGTTTTCAAGCTACCAGCCAAGAGACTATTGGCATTTATGTGATTTATATTTGCTGAGGTCAAGCCATGATATTTGCTTGTTGGAGTTCAATTTTAAGAAGCAAGAAGAACTCTCTGCATACATCTATCCTTCTCTCAAATAGATTTTCACGTCATTCACCAACCTACAAACACGTTTTGTAGAAACAGTCAGTTTATTGTGAGGAGCTCACCTCCAATTTAAAAATTAACAAAACCACTAAAACTAGTTGTTTTTTTCTTAAGGGCCCAATTAACAACAACAACAACAACAAAAAAAAGCAGGAAACTTGTCATTTGAAACGCAAAAAGAAAACCACTAAACCACTGCAGGATTTTAGTGACCAAGATGCTCCTTTGATCAACAAGTGCAAGAAATACAAAGCTTATAAAATACACTCTAGGACAAGGAGGAAGTGTTTTCATATGTAACAGGCTTCTGTTTAAAAGTATGCCCAGTAACAATTCTAGAAAAGCCTCGAGAGCTGCAAGACACTCACATCACCAGCAAGAACACACTGAATTTAGAGGAAAAGAGGGCTTAAAAGCCCTTCTTAAAAGAAGATACCTTGTGGGTGGTTGACAAATGTTGTTACCCAGAAGTTTGGGATTTTGGCGATCAATTCTGACCTCTTCTGGAAGAATGGCTGGCGGAGTTTGTTGTATTTCTGTTCTACTTTCAAAATTTCCTCACTGGCTTGTTCATTCAGTCTGTAAGAGAAAGAACCACATTAACCACAAGAGCCAGAACTGAAATTTAAAGCCACATCATCAATAGTGGGCTAAAAACTGACCAGGTTTGATTAGACTAGTCTGCCATATTCAACAGATGAGGCATCTAGAACAAAAAAGAGAGGCCCTAAGCCCATAAGGGCTATTCAGAAACACACTACCAGAAGCAATCTCACTGATCTTAATGAAACATTCTTAATACATCCTGTGTTCTGCAGTATTACATGAGGGACAGACCCTCATTCTTGCAAAGCAAAGTAGTATTTTACCTCTTACACATTTTGATTGTAAAAGACATAAAGATAGGTCTAACATGCAACACTATCACCTGCTCTTTATAAGTTTGGGGTAAGCAAGCAAGGTCCAGCAAAGCAATTCTGCGCCCACACAAGTAACATCTGAAGGTGCAACATTTAATTAGGTTTGGCTCCAAAAAAGAGCCTCGATAATGCAACAGCTTCACATAGCCAGAGCCTCAGTGGTCACCTGCAGTCTTTGTAGACCAGTGTGCATGGAGGTAAGATCCAGGCAAATACCAACATTGAACCCACAGAGTTTTGGCACATGGAACTAATGTTCCGGTGACATTTTCTGAGCAAATGAATACGTAAGTTTTTAAAAGTATAATAAAAGCTAACTTTTCAAACAAGCTTTTGGTTCCACTTACAAACATAAAAACAGTTTTGCAAAAAAGTATACACATGAACTTGAAAACCCAACAGAAAATAAATTTCCAGTATCAAAAATATAACAATTTTAAGTTTTAAGCTCCAGGTCTACCTTTTAAAATATCCCAAATGAAATAAGACCCCGGGATACTTCTTCAATTCTTTTATCACACACAAACACCTCTCACATCTAATCAAGTCACCACACAAGCGTATCTTGGCAGAATTTAAACACACTGAGAACTACCATCGAGTAGCTTTCTTTACTAAATATTTTGGCTTATGAAAGTTTCACTTCAATTTCTACTAAAACATTATAAAACTTTGTTCATCTTTACCTGTCTATTTCATTCTGTACTTCATCAATGTGTTCGATTGCTTCCTGTTGCTCTTTTTCTGGAAAAAAAACAAAAAACCAAATGAAAATGCATCAAAATCCCTTCATTCAAGTCTGACAAATCACCCGGGGTTTTGCTTAAGACCTTTTCTAATCATCTCCTTCTGAATTACATGGATATTTCTACTAAATGTCATAAGCGTTACAAGGACTTAAAGCTTCAGCTACTTCCAGAGTGCGCTACAGCTGAAGCACAGCAAAGTTGGATGAAACAGCACTCGGAGAGAGTTCACCCTTAGAAATCCCAGTTCACATTCCCCTACACGGCTTTACAACTCAGCTTCAATGAGAAGTCGATCATGACACATAAATAACAATTTCATTAAAAAGCCTGAAGCCATATCTACTAAACAAACCCATTTGAAAGAACGTTAAATAATTTAGAGAGGCCGGAAAATCAACAGAACGGGAACACGCCGCCTTCTAAAAAATGACAAGAACGTTCGAAAGGCCAGCTACAAGCAAAAAACCCTTCAAAGCCCCCGTTTACCGGGATTTTCTCACCGGAATGTCCCCTCCACAGAGCCTGGCAGAGCTCCGCGTTTCAGGAGCACTGTTTACCTATCGCGCTGGGAGATGAATGACCGGCCGCGGGAAGTCGCGGGAGCGGTGCAGCACGCTCACTCCTCCCCCGGTAAGTATCCCGCGCGGCTCAGACCGCGTTAAAGGACAGGTCTCTCTAGCGGACGCACTGCTACCCCGTCCCCACGGCGGAGAGGCGGCCGCGGACGGAAAACACGTGTGTGACCGGCGCTGGCAGCAGGCGCCGCACCGCAGGGAGCGACGGCGGGTTTGATGGAAGGAGGAAGGAGAGCGCTGCGCCCTTCCCG